CCATCTTTCCTCACCCTCACAGTTTTCTAAATCCTGTATATTGAGGGGGAACAGAATACCCAACCCCAATATGTGCCACTTTAGTACATGGACTGTTTTGAGCTGAAGGTAATTAAGACACAGCAGACTCAGGAAAAGCTTTTAATCTCTCCCTTGACTGCCTAAAAGTGTTTAGATGGGGGCCTGTACTAGGAAGAGAGCTATTACCAGAGATAACTTTTTGTATCAGAAATACTTTATTTGCATATGTGGCAAATATTTGTTTACCAAACCTTTACTCTTTTCATCTTCCTGTAAATAGTCTTCCTCCCCTTTGAAGCTCCAGGCCCCCACTGCCTTCTCCTTCGCTCAGGATGGCATGTAAGCCTCAATTTCCAGGCTGCCTTTGAGTCTTCATGTCTATGGGGCTCCCATATGTATGTAATTATACTTGGTTTTCTTCTGTTAATCTGTCTTATGTCAATTTAATTATTAGACTAGCCAACAAACTGAGAAGGGAAAAAAGAAAAGTATATTTCTTTTATATTATTATATTATTATATCGCATGAGTCCTCCATCTTCTTTGCCCAGGGCTTTATACTCTTGACCCAGGTCAAATGTCTCCTTATTTGTGAAGCCATCCATTTATCTTCCAGATTGAGTTAGTACCTCTCTTCTCTGTGCTTACAATAACACCTGTTACTTACATGAATCATAAGAACAATGTTAATCTTTTCCTGAGCCTTTTACTTCTGGAAAACAATTAAATAAATATATCTATTTTGCCTTCTGCAAAGAATTACCCTTCGCCATTGACTAGGATACATAAGACTCACCAATATCTCCTTTTTTCACTTATAATGAGGCCAGATATAGACCCTTCAACTTCCAAACTTTTTGCTTCAAAAAAGATGAGCTGAGCTGTTTGTCTCCACTGATGACATGAAATAAACACTTGTAACTAAAACATTAAGCATCTGTCCTCTCTCCAGGCACCTGAACTTTGACCCACATTTTTCTGACCCAGGAAACATCCCCTCCTTAAAGATCCTGCCTGAGAATCAGCAAGCCTTATGGAAAAACATCCCCATCACCCCACTCCCTCCATACCCTGTTCTTTCTAGTAATACCTTGTTGATCAATCCATATAAAAGAAAATTCCTTTCTGCCTGGCCTGTCAGTTGCTTGCAGCTCTACGGTTGGATTCTTTTCCCTATTGCTATAGTCATTTTCCCCTGATATCAATAATCCTTTCAAATAAAGTCTCTTTTTACCTGTCTAGATTTATTTGACAATACAAATTGCCAAGTTCTTAAATTGCCTGTTGAGATAATTACCTCCTTTTTGCCCACATTTGGAACTGTGTTTTGGAATAATGACAAGGCCAGATTCATGTTTGTGTTCTTATCATGTCTTAATCTGCCTGTTCCCTATGACTATTTCCATCAATTTCTGTTTCTACTTTAGCCTTTGAGTCTGACTTTGTATCTGTCTACCCCATTTCCCTCCTTCTTCACCTACCTGTGTCCTTGTGGCCAAGCTCCTGTCTTCAGGTGCTCCAGAGACCTGCTTGTAGAGTAAGTTCCTTCCCTGAGTCTGGTAGGTGCTGGCTCACACCTCCAGTCCAGGCTTTGGCTCCAGTGGTGACAGAGTGGCTTGATTTTATCCTCTAAGCAGGAAGGGAAAACTGGTTTCACTTTTGTTTTTGTTGGTTCTTTTTTTCTTTAAAAAATTCAGCTAATTAAAGTAAACCCTGTTTGTCTACTTATTTTTATTGCATTCTGTGGGTTTTAAATTACTGCAATTAGAAGACAAATGTTTGTGCAAGTACGTGTGTGTATGTGTGTGAGTGTGTGAGTGTGTGTGTATGTGTGTGTACCAATGGTGCAGGTGGGGTGAGCGTAAGATAATGAACATAGAAACAGGACAGGGAAAGAATTTGGGAGAAGAAACATGGGCACATTCTGTAGAGCAGTGTCTTCCTCAGGGAAAGTGCTTTGATGCCTTACTGTTCCAATTCTCCTCACCCAAGCACAAAGAGAGAAGCAAGCTCCCAGTGCTAATGAAACTTGTTAGTTTTTATTTCCTGTAAAAGACTTTCATATTAGAATTAGTTTAAAGTCTTGAAGCTCTGTTTCCCCAAAATGGTTACTGTGAAAATTAACAAATCTTCGAACATTTTATTACCAGAATTAGATGATTCAAATCCAAAGTTCTTAAAGGTGTTTTGTGAAAACAAAAATGTACAAAAGCACATTCTGTGTTTATTGTGAGAAAGAGAGAATTTTATTTTTCTTTATCTTTTAAATTAGAGCTTTCTAGTAATGCTATTTCTGACAGCTGTCCCTCAAACTTAAACACATGCAAAGCATTTTATTATCTGTCTCTGAATATAATTGATTATAATATTGCAGACCAGTGCCCCTGTCCTATTTTTCTCCTATTTCAAACATTTATAGTCTGATGCACATGTATTCTTCCAGGTGAACTTCATACTCATTTGTTTAATTCCTTCAAAAACTTACCCAAACCGTCCAGTTTCCTACTCTTTCCCTTAGATAGGAGCATTGGCATTTTCTAATAAGCAAGAGATTTAATATCCATCGAGACAGATTTGAGACCAGCATCCAACAGTGACTAGTTATATTTACTTAAATCTTTGGAATCCGGAGGAGGACCCAACTAATGAGAGCAGCTGAGTAGTCGTGCTATCTACCTCACATGATGTTAATGGGAATAAAATGTTTGGCTTGAAGTCGTTATTCATATTAAAATTTTCTCCTTGGCACATAATTAGTTTGAAGATCAAATCTATGAAGACAAGAGGCATCAAGGGGAATGTCTCCAGCTGCCATGTTCCAACAAATGTTTAATTTGAACTTCTGAGAATTTTTATATTCATGACATCATCTGACAGTTCTTGGGGGATTTCTTTTTTGCACTCATATACTGGGTCTTGTATTTGTGTCTATGTTCTGTCTATTGCTACACTATGAGTCTACACATGATAGAGTCTGTGTCTGATCCACCTCATATTTCTTCACATTTGAGGACACTTTCTGTATATGTTAAGTTCTCAGTAAATGTTGTATAAATTAATGAAGGGTGTAAGCAATCCCATGGCCTCAATTCAGATTCATGAATGAGTTCATTTCACACAATGACTTCCTGTTATTCAAAGTCCAATACAGAGAAAAGACTTTTGGTTTCATTTCTCACTCTCATCTCAATTCCCAGAAATGATTGTCTTTACAGGAATGTTTGTTAAGGGATTAATGAAAGTTCTTAGGAAGCTATCTCTAAGTTTTCCTGCTTCCCTGCCAGTTTTCTAAACCAAGTTCCATTTGAAAAATTCTAGCCTTATTCTAAATAAACTAAGGCAAAAGAAATACAATGAGACCTCCCCAGGGATACCAGGGAGAGCCAGTGGCTCAGGGGCCCACCCAGGACTGGGAGGCAGGTGATGCCAGAGAGGCACTTGGGGTACAGGAAACTTGAGAGTGAGGGAGTGCTTAAATTTTGCACTCCACAGGCCTCACCCCCCTCACCCTCTTTCCAGCCCTACTCCCAACTTTGGCTAAAAGTCCTGTGGAGTGAGGCAGCCCATGTCCAATCCATTCATAAGAGAGAGGGGGGCAGATGAGATCACCGAGACTCTCCTGCCTGGCATTTTCCCCGATACTTTCCTTCCAGCTGGCTCCTTTTTGGCCAGGAAAAAAATATCCTTCATGGGACACTCATAGCCTCTTCTGAAATCTGGTGGCAGATACTTGCCAGCCAAGACAGAGGTAGAAGAGGAAGAAAAATCAGATAACCCAGGTGTACTAGTAAAACCCAGTTTTCCTTTGTTTCAACACCAGATGTGTGGGTGTTTTCCCTTCACCAAGCAATTCTGTGACACTAACTGGGTGTCCTACAATTTACCTCATTCTGACACTTTCTCTCTGGAGATAGTGTCAGATCCCACAGGTTAAGGGCTCATTCCCATGAGACTGCCCCGCTCCCACCCCACTTAACATTCCAGACCCAAGTAGCTGGTCTCCAGGGTACCCACAACTTCTGTCTGACTTGGTTACAAATTGGAAGTTCCCACAAACCCCTTCTCAGGTTCTATTAGTTTTCAAGAGTGGCTCACAGAACTCAGGGAAACACTTAACTTTTGTTTACCATTTTATTAAAGGATATAATAAAGGATACATATGAAGAACCAGGTGAGGAGATACATAAGGCAGGGCCTGTGAGGATCCTGAGTGCAGGAGCTTCTGTGCCCGTGCAGTTGAGATTCTCACCTTCCTGTATAGGGTTGTAATCAAGAACCTGGAAGCTCTGCAAAACCCATGCCATTGGAGTTTTATGGAGGCTTTCTCCTATAGACACAACCTACCATGCCCTTCTCTACTCTCTGGAGATGGGGGTAGGGGTGGAACTGAAAATACCAAGCTTCTAATCATGGCCTTTTCTTTCTGGTGACCAGTCCCCAACCAGAAGCCACCAAGGAGCCATCCAGAGTCACCTCATTAATCAAAAGATACTCCTAGTGATCTTATAACTTAAGAAATTTTACAAGGGTTTGAAGAACTCTGTGTCAGGAACTGGAATGAAAACCAAATATATATTTGTTATTACATCGCAGTTTCACACCAGGGAAAGACACAGAGGCTTCAGATCCTGCCTTTGGTGGACTTCTCTTCCCACCTCTGAGGGCAGTGCCCAGCTGTAACCAGTACGGTGATGGTTGTCAGAGGAGGTAGAAAGGAAGATCATGCTCCTTTTCTCCTGTGAACCCTGAGTTTTTCCTGCTTCTGCTTTCTGACTATACCTTCATTCTACTCCCAAAAGCCATGGATTTCTGAGCAAATTCTCAGGTTGCATCATTCTTGCAGATGACAGTTATATGAGAATTTGAGCTGATTTGTTCTGTTAAGAGACATATTACATGGAAAGTGAACACAGAGTCCTTTCTCATTACTTTAACTGTGTGATTTGGGTCACTTATTTAATCTTTCAGTCTTTCATCTTACCATTTTTCATTGTATTGTTTAAATGAGATAATCTCAATGCCTAACCTAAAGTAGGGCTAAAATAATTAATTCTTTCCATCTCTTCTTCTCATTCAAGTCCTTCTTAAAGGACCCTCTAGTGTCAACTCTATCTCAGCCTTGTGTGGGGATGTAGAAACTAATTATGCAAAATAGAAGATGGCATTCAAGCAAGTTTGCACCACTAAGGCAAGGGGAAAACCTCCCGTATCGTTACAGATATTATGACATAGAAGTGATGATACTGAGCACTCTAAAATCCAGGATAAATAGACTCCAATGGAATCAGGAAGATTAGATGTAGAGAGTTTGTGGTAGATGTGGTTTGGGGTGGTCCCCATTGTGAAAAACCCTGAGGGATATTCAGTGTGGCCAGGTAGAGTGCAAAGAGAAATCAAGTTAGTAGCTTAACTCAGAAGTGTGGGCACCAAAGATGTGGAAAGGAATGGGTTTAGGGAAGAGTTACCCCAAATATGGCTGCAGTTGTGGACTTTCTGGGATCAGAAGGGGATTCAGCTGCATTCTGGTGCCACTGGTGAATACTGAGAGCATTAGAAAGATTACCAATCACTAAAAATACCCTTGGGTTTGGTGTCCTATTTGAAGAGGAACCTGAATCAGGATTTTTGTTAGTTTGGTCAAATAAGTCTTGGAGTTGATGTAATTTCGGATGCCATTTTAGTGAATATTTTTGAACCTGCAAACTGGTTAACCCAGTCATGCTGCTTACATATCCAGTTTAAGCAAATCCTGTTGGCTCTACCATGAAAATATATCCTGAATTAGGCCACTTTGATTATGTAGGGCACTAACCAACATCCTAATCCAAGCTACTATCATCTCTTTCTTGGATTGCTGCAATAGTCTTCTAACTTATTCCCCTGTATTGTCATTGTCATTGCACTCTACCCCAGTCCTCTCTCAGTCTGTTCTCCACACAGTATCAAGAAGGAGCTTTTAAAATTGAAAGTAAGGTGTCAGTTCTTGGCTAAGAAATCTCCAAGAGCTTCCCTACTCACTCTTAGCAAAACTAACAATCCTTACAATGTCCCACAAGGCCCTACATCAAGTTCATTTCTCACCAATCTCTCCCTTGCTTTTTGTGTTACAGCCATACTGGCTTCCTTGATGGTTCTGTCACTCCAGGCATACTCCCACCTTGGGGTCTTTGCTCTTGTTTCCTCTGTTCAAATAACAATTTTCCCAACCATACCCTCACTTTTTCCAGAATTCTGGTCATATTTCACTCTAGCTGGGAAACCTTCCCTGGCGACCCTATATTAAGTAGCAATTCTCTATGCCCAGCAGTTACTATCCTCTTTGCTCTCTGTTTTCTTTCTTCTCCTTGGTACTTACCACCATTTAACATAGATTTTATTCCCTATTTATTTATTGTCTCTTCCCATTAGAACGTGTTTTATGACAATAGAGACTTTATATATCTGTTTCTTTTTTCTTGAATTCCCAACTTTTAGAATAGTAGCCAGAACACAGTATGGGCTCAGTAAATATTTCTTGAACAATGAAATGAACATATGAAGTCGTAACAATTTCTTTGTTTTTTCAAAATTGGGTCATATTGTATATACCTGTTTGTAACTTACATTTTTACTCAATGTTT